TGTGTGAGCGGGTCGCGATGTTGAGTTTCATTCATAAAAACCGAAAGAGGGCGCATCTCGTGCCTCAGTTGTGTTCGGACAAGCAAACGCGACGGTTGGAATAGAAGAAACTAAAAATCAAGCCAGCAAGCAAGCTAGCAAACTAGCAAGAAATCAAGAAAGCAAATCTAAAGCAAACATTTTGTATAGATATTCAAACGGTTGATATCTATTGGAAAATTCTAAACAAAAGAAAATAACGAAAATAACAAATCGTTTTGTGCAGTGATACAGCGAAAGAGCAGTGCCAATAAAAACAAATAGATAAAAATAATGCTCCATTATTAAACTAAAACTCAAGTAAAAGTGAAAGGATATTCCGGCAGTTGGCGACGGCATGAATGAAAAAAGCCCACAGCCCCATAAGATGATTACACGAGCAGTGCTTTATTGATTTTTGCCCCGCAGTGAGAACGAACGAGACTTTCGTGCAGCTGACAGTGAAAATTATTTAGACCGTCTTAGAGCGACGAAAAGCCGAGAGGGCTACACAAAAAAAAAGCCAAAGGAAAATCCCTTTGAATTCTTCTGCAAGTGCCATTGCGATCCAGGTGGGTGTTTGTTTAGCAGTGAAACTGTTTTCGTGATGTGTTCTGCCTTGGTTGTCTCATAAAATATCTTATACTTTATTCACTTTTTTAATAAAATGACATATGTTCGCTGTGAGCTTGCCTGAATTATTGGCCAACAAATTTAATTTATAAGAACGCTAAGAGAGCATAAATTTTGATGCTGATTTATGTGTTCCGCGTCAAATTGGAAATTCAATGTTAGAGGAAGAAACATTTTTTCAGAATTCTTATTGGCATTTGATTGAGATTCAAGGTGTCTTTTAGATAAATTGTATAAAAGTGTTTGCTTTGTTTGTTGAGAACTATTTATATATTTAAAATATTTTAAAGTAGAATTCCTTAGTTATAAAACTAGTGTGTTTTATAGAACATTCTTATTAGATTCTCATTGTGAAAAAATAAATTAGTTCCTCAAATTTGTTTTCTTTTTGACTACAAACTTGTTGCAATAATAGTCCCGAAAATATATAGAAAAATCAACAACCCTTGCCTCCTCTTGCCAGTCGGCGAATTTTCTTTTCCCAGATTTAGTTGAAAGATATAAAAATTCATTTAACGCATAATAAAATTTCTGCACGTTATTTAGATAGCACCTGTGAGCAGGCACAGCCAAGCGGCAAAATTTACGACTGCAACTTTGTATTCCTAAATTTATGTAGCCGAGCACAAGTCTATCTGTATCTGTATCTGCATTAGCCATTTGCAGTTTTTGTAATTAAATTATTGTCATACACTTAGCGCTCAATTAAAATAGCAATCTGCTCAGCTTAGATGTTTACAATTTGATGGCAAATTTTTGGTCCGTCTGCATTCCCCAAATTTACATAAACTTATATCCCCAAGAGGTCCGCCCCCGTAACGCCCAAAAACTTTTCCCGCTAATGCATTTCCTAGTGGCGCTTTTTAATGCCACAGCCACAGTGCATACGAAATGGAAAAACAATTAGCAAAATGATTTACATGCAACCTCCCATAACGAAAAACGCGCGGAATGGAAAAGCTAAAGATCATTTATCAATTTTTAAAGCTTTTCCATCACTTTTCGTCAATTTTCGTATTTGGGAAATTAATTATGAGATCAAAACAAAAGGTGCCGACGTGCGTTGCTGGGTCGTAGAGTTCATTTAACACTTGCCGCAGTTGCCAAATGGCACTTTGACATACCCCCTCCTTTGGATCTACCATTTTAAGTGGCCAAAAGCATGAAGTTGCCGTCGGGAGTTTTTTTTTTGGTTTTTTGTTATGCGTTTTTGTCTGCCAAGTCAAACAAGAAAATTTTCATTTAAGTGCCCACTAAAATGATTTCGAACAAAAAAAATCTTTATAAAAATATACATATTCGGTGTGGTGTGGTGTTGCTGTTGTTGTTGTCTGGCCCGCGGCTGTTTATTTTCATTAATTGTTCTCATGAGGAGGGAAAAACAGGCAACCAGAGCTGTTGGCATGAAAAGTGTGACAAAGTGTTACGCATGCAAAAGACGGCGGCAAAAGATACATTTTCATGTTGTCCATGTTAACTTGTTGGACACTCCTGGTGAAGGGAGGAGGATGGGGCTGTGGATGTGGATATGGATGGGTGGGGTTCCCACTGCTCCCGCTGTGTGAATGATGGACTTTGTTGCCGCCCGGCCATTCCATCATCGTTTCGTTTTGGCTCCGTGTCGCATGCAACTTGCATGTTTTCTATCTATGTATCTGCAAGATACTCTTACTCCTCTCACACACCAGCACACTCACACACTTGACTAATGATCGCCATCCCTTCTCCTTTAAACGTTTCTCCAATTTCTTTTCATATTAATAACCAAAGGTAATAAAACAAAAGAAAAAACTTGTATTATTATTGTTATTATTAATTGAGATGCCAAGGTTGGGAATGCAAATCCGTCGATACTTGAGCACCAGATAGTATTGCACAAGATCTCCCAAGACAACAAACTTGTAGTTTATTTTTGGAGCCGTTAAGTAGCCAAAGGTCGCTTAGCACGTCTCAACATTTAATCCTCAATGAGGTCTTCACAATGCTGCCAATGAAAACAAATGGTCAAAAAACCGGGGTCTAGGGGTCAGCCTGCCATGGCCTAGCCATATCCCCTCCTCATTTGCCAAAGCAAACAAATTGGCGCCCATCTATCGAATTGTTAACACTCTCGACTGGGGCGAAATAAAAAAAAAAAAAATAAGAAAAGAAAAAAAGATAAAAGAGCATATAGAACCCCAAGAGGAACTATCTATGGAAATGGCTAGAGCAGCGACAGCTGCAACCGGTTTGGCAAAACTTAATTAAAATAATATCAACATAACAATTTTTTCATGCTCGACGCTTTTTTTTTCTCTCCGCCTTACCTCTTCCTCATCGAGCCGTTAAATGTATCTTTCGGATATCCATCTCACTCTGGCGCACAGCCACTGCCAATATTCATTCATGGCAAAGAGATCTTGACGTGTGTTGTCTGTCCTACTACACTAAAAACAAAATCAGGAAAAATGCTATGCAAAAATATGCAGAGTGAAAGAAGTCAGGGGATCCGGGCCGGAGACAAGATTTACAATATACATAAACGGAACAGTGGCGATTGGCTAAGATGAACGTTGAGTTAATTTAAGCTATGGGAGATTTTCATAACGATGCTAGTCAGTAGAAGTAATGTTTCCTATCTAGCTTTTTTTTCAAACCCAGCAGCAGTAATCTTCTTAGCCAGTTGCCACTGTAGATAAGCAACAGCTTTGGCTGGCCGTTGTTGGTTTTTCTTGATTTTTTTCTTTTTTTAAGGGAGTGTCAATTGTTAGCCAAGTTATTAAGAACCACAGGGGAAGACAAAGACCGGGCCAAGAAGTCCAAAGAGGTGGAAGTGGCTTCGATGCTCTCCAACCAGTTTTCAGACTTTGAGAGGTTCGATCCGATGTATTGGATTTTATACCCAATTCGGCCGCCCGCGGATGATTCATGTGGCAAGAGAAGAAAAAGATACAAATCTTTGATCGACTGTAAAAATTATTGACTCGGGCGCATAATTTTATGAATGAACAAAACACAAAAGGCTCGGGCACAGGCACAGCACGCGCTGGCTCAACACACAACTAAAAGTATCTCTACATGCTGTGTGTGTATCTGTATCTCTAACCGTATCTGAATCTGAAACTGAGCATGAATCTGTGGTTCAGTTGGCGGCCTACAGTTTTGAATGTAATTTCACTCGCCGAACGTCTCGTCGAGTGCACTTTGCCATGGAAATTATGCGTGAAATCAAATGTAAACAAAAAAGCAAAAGTGCCAAAAGCGGAGAGCTGCGGCTGCCTCTTCGTAAAATGTCGGATACGCCGTGGCACGGTAGTTATTTTGGCGCATAGCTGCCTGTCAACACAAGTGCACTTGTAATGCAAATCAACGCGGTCAAGCCTTCGCCACAGAAAAAAAAAACGGAAAAACTGAAAAAATAATAATAAAATAAAACAACACTCGAGAGCTGGGATGACGCCACATCGAGCAGATCGAATGAATGGTGGGGGAAGACCCAGACCCAGTGCCGAAACTCGTTGCAGATGGCAATCGCAATTTCGGTTAGTTTATCCGTGATAAACATACAGGCAAAACTGCAAAGCAACAAAATTAATAATAAGCCAACTTTATGAGACATTTGTTTAGAAAAATTAGCCGGACAGGCTCTAATTGAGAGACTTGCATAAGTACGCGGCGGTGGGATTGCGTAAGGTCACCGCCTGACCCACTTCCCGGGATGTGGGTCCCCAGTGCGAAACCCCAAACCTGGGTGATATGTGACCACTTCCATGGGAAAGAGGCCAGTTCTACTTCTCAGGGCTGAGCCAAGTGCTTAATCGATCTTAATTTAATTGCCTGCGATCGTGGGCGCAGGAGGCGAAAGTCTGCGACAGTCTCCGAAGACGACAACTCGATGGCAAATTAAATTGTTAAGTAATTTCACCACTTGATGACCCGAAAGCACTCACTCACCCATCGACGGATTGGTGGTTATGCAATCGAACAGCTGTCGTGGCAAATCAATTAAAAGCCAAAGTGCGCAACATTCGCATTATGATTTTGCATGAGTTTGGGCTCCATCTGCGGTTACCAACTCTGATTACACTTGACATTTCATCTTCAATTTACCATGAAATATGCTATATTTTTTTCATCGGAATAATGAGTTGGGAATTATAAGTGTAGGTCTCTGTAGGCACTTCTCCATTATCGTCATACATATTTTTTATAAAAAAAAATGTTTTATTAAATGGAATATCAACACATCATTAAAACTTTTCTAAAAATCCTACTTTTCAATTAAGATCCTCATAATAGTGCCACATTTTTTTAATTTTATAATAAAATTTCCCAAATTATAATCTATTTTCCCCGTTCTTTTTTTGCAGGCGGCGTAGCCCCTGGAACTCCATCAGCGGCCATGATCATGGAAGGGCTTGAAACCCTGGTGGCGCCAACGCATCACGCATTCCTGCTCACCGAGACGGCCGCGGCCGCCCACTTCAATGTGCTGAGCTTCGACACCTGTCTGTTCAAGACGAGCACGGCGGCCCAGAGCAGCGGCAGTCCCTCGACGGCCACCTACCTGAGTCCCGCCCAATTCGGTGGCAACCACGGTGGCGCCAGCACCAGCAGCTCCCTCAACTCCTCCGCCGCCTCCTCGTCGTCCTCGTCCTCGCTGCTGCACTACACCACCGCATCGGCAGCCGCTGCCGCTGCAGCAGCCGCCGCCGCCGCATCCGCTTCCGCCAACAATTCGGTGCTTCGGGCCCGCAACCAAACGGCCACGCCCACCCAGGGCGGCAGTCCGGGACACGTGGCCGTTCAGCCAAGCGCCACCGCCAGCAGCGGACGCAGCTCGGCCTCCCATCTCAGCCTGCTGAACACCAGTGGCCAGCACAGTCCCGCCTCCTCGGCCGTCGAGCAGGTGGAGGCCCACAAGCAGCTGATCGAGGCGCTGCCTGGCGACCTCAACACGCCGGTGACCACGTCCAGCGACATACCCTCGTTCTTCGGACCCAGCACCGTGGTGGAACCGCCACCTATTACTGGTGAGTACAGGCTTACAATAGTCTTAAAAAAATTACAAAATAATTTTTATAAAAATAAAACTGAAAAGAAATTAAAAAATAAATATCTTTAATGTTATAAAAATATAAAAACTAGTAGAAGCTTATAAATTTATCTTGATATTAAAAAAAAAATGTAAGATGAATAGAATATTATCTATATATAATATATGTCTAATAATTTATTTAAATATCAATATTTTTTCAGTATAATTTACTTTAAATAATATTAGTTTTTGTAGGAGTTTAATGAAAACTGAAAATATTGATCATTTAAAAACCAAAGTACTTTAAATATTTCATAAAGTTATCTTAACTTAGAAAAGTTAGCTGTCCTATCTCCTTAAAAATACTAAGATCCCCAAATCAATATTATTTAAAATGAGGCGAAAGTATATGCATTCCTTGCCACGATAGTTCAATATTATAATACACCCTATAAATCGTGGACACAAAAGCCTCGAAAAACATTTATGGAGTTTTGCTTAGCTGGGCCATCGGCCGGGAGAAACTCGGGCCGTGAGGTTTCTTTATCTGCTGCTAATGGATGCAGCTTGCAGCTGCCACATGCTGCACCAGTGGCAAGCAATGCCAGTTGCACGGTCCGTATGGAGTCTGCAACTAATCCGTTGTCAGTCTTAAGTCTCAACATAAATCAGCCTCAGCGGAGAGCGCAGAAAACTGTCGTTATGTTAGGCCATATCTTGACTTACTTCTGCGCCACTCCAGCGAACATACATAACTCGGCTTTGTCTTTCACCGGACTTCCCTTCCATCAACCTTTTCTCCCTGGGCCTGGCCCGAATAACAAGTTCAAAATCAAAAATAAACATTCGAAAATGCTCAAGTACCAATTTTTTCTTTATTTGCACGTCTTCTGATTTGTTGATCTTGTTTTTTCGTTTTTGAGTTTCTTATTTACTTTGTGATTTTCGTCTGTCTGTGTCTTAATAATTTTGTTATGAATGTTTTATTAAGTTATGTGGCTTTTAAAGCGGCCTCCAGCCAAGAGTATTTATATATTATATATAGCCACTTTTCGTCTTTGGTCACATAAATATAAATTAATAAAAACGTTGACATCCCAATGGCTATATCACCTTATAGACTACATAAAATTTATATCATAAAATTTTTGTTTTTATTTTTGCGCTCACTTTTTATTAATGTCAAATAAAATTGAATTTTGCAATACTCACGACGGGCAGCGTTCTCATATTTCTAAGACTGCATAATAAAACTAATAAATAAAAAAAGGCAACAACGTCGCTTAATTAATCTAGAGGCAACAACAACAGCGCATGTATTAAACATTTCCGTTCAGTGTCAATGTTTCGAGCGCAATTTTCTCACTAGCAACTGTCTCAAGATACGCGGACCCACAGAAAAAAAACCATATCGGACTTGGGCATATACATACATACAATATATATATCTACAGACATATGGAGCTGCATTTCTAATTGAATTAAGGCAAAGCAAATAAAGTATACTAGATTTGCTGCTGCTATCAAAAACAATTGAGTTTAATTGCTCTCTTTACCCCAAAGAATTAAAACATTTTTGTTTTTCCCAGAGAGAAAGAGAGCGCAAAGATCCATTGAAAATGCATAAAAACAATATATTAACGTATAGCTGGGCTAAAATATGTTTTAGCTACATATAATGTTAGCCAGAAGCCAAAAAAATGTCACTCATAAATTCTGGCCACTGCCCACGCAGCTTGGACTTTTTGGCCAAACGCTAAAAAGAAAGAAAGGCTAAAATCATAGACATGGGCAATTTCCAAATGAAAATCCATTAAAACAATTTGCATGACAATGATGGAGCGGCTTTTAATCGCCAAACTTGGCAAGCTGGCGAAACAACTGGCCATGTCTCACTCGGATTCGAGGGCTTGGACGAGTTGGTTGGCCAAAAAGAGGATGGCCGGGCCAAAGGCTCCATATTGGCCAGACTAAAATGCGTCTGTCAGAAATGATACATAATTTGTTGTCTTATTTTTTCTATTTCTTATTTTTGGTAGGAGAGGGACATAATTTGCCCTGACAGCATTAATGGGGCTTGCAAATATATGTGTGTGTATATGCGGCGAATAGAACAATAGAAACGCTATCGCGAAAATTTCTATGAATCCCAAGGCATGACTACCTCCCCTACCCGCTAAAAACCAGATTGATGTCGCAGCACATTAGGCGCATTGCAACTCAATCAATATCCAGGCTAAAGCTCAAGTCCGAGCGGCATTAATGACGACAATCGTGAGCAGTAAAAAAACAAAAAACAAAAAAAAGGGAAAAAGAATAAGAGCGCTGGAGAAGATTCCCTCGGCCTGGTAGCCGCGTAATTAGTCTTCTCGCCGACACTTTTGCCTGGCCCCCAATCCCCAATCCCCCAAGTCCCCCCCTGTCTTCTGGTCTTCTGCCGCCGGCAGCTTCTGCACTTCTGGTCTTGGACTTCTGGCACGATGAGCGATGATTCCGACCTCCCGTGTCGTTCGATTTCCGCGAAATCAAAGCGCGCCCAGCTGCAACAGCCCAGTGCCACAGTGCCAATGCCGTTCAAGCGAACTGTGATTGATATCGTTGCAACAGCAACATCAGCAGCACCAGCAGCAGCAACAGAAACAGCAGCAACTTTAGCAGCACCAGCAATCAAGACATTCAGGGCAATGATTTACTTTCCTATAAAACCAAAATATATTATTCAATGTGGCAAACAGTCCCAGGAGAACTCTCATTCCTGCTAATTTTCTGTATTAACTTCCCTTCAAATTACAAAGAAAATGATTGCCCTTAAAATGTCTGATTCATTGGAAAAATAAAAATGTTTTTTTTGTTTAGGTCAGACAAATGGAATTTTAGATAACTTTATTTCCTAAGTATAAATAATAATAAAAAAATGTAAGTGTAGGAAATTGATAGCTTTATACCATATTTGTATTACCTAAACTAAACAAAATATCCATCATCTTTCAATTCCAGGCTCTATCGAATCCGAGGATCTCTCCTTGGAACCCCAGGTGATATCTGTGGCCAGTCCCGTGTTGTCGCATTGCAGTCCATTGAAAGAGGAGCGCAGTACTCCCCCAGCTTTGGCCATTGTCAAGGAAGAATCAAGTAATAATAGTTGTAATATGTACCCACAACACAACAACAACAACAACACCACATCATCATCAACAACTACAACAACAACCAAACAAACAACCAGCGAAAGCATCAACAACAACACTGAATGCGTTGGCTCGCCGGGCAACCATACACAATCACACCAACAGCAACAACAACAGCTGCATCACAACAACAACAACACCACCAGCAACAACAGCAATTGCCACCACAGTCACCAACAACAACAGCAGCAACAACAGCAACACATGAGCTCCCCGCAACATCAATACCAACAACACCAAATATTACACCAACAACAACAATTGCCAAATCATCACCATCATCATCATCATCACCACCACCATCACAGTCAGCTACAACTCCAACAACAACAACAACAGCAACAACAACAACAGCAGCAACACCAACAACAACAGCCGCTACACCAACAACAGCAATTGCAACACCAGCAGCAGCAACAACAACACCAACAACACTATCAGCAACATGCCATCCAACAACAGGCTAGCAAAATCTCATATCGTGGCATTTTCACCACCACAGGCAACGCAATGAATGCAGCAGCAGCCGCAGCAGCAGCAGCACAGCAGCAACAGCAGCAGCAGCAACACCAGCAGCAGCAACTTCCATCCCCGCAACTGGGCGTTTTGGCCGGGCCAATGTCACCGCCCTCGAATAGTTTGGGCAACAGTTGGGGTCTACCCAGTCCGGATAAGACCATGTTCCAGCCACCCCTGTTCAGTCTGCCCGCTCACTATGCCACCATGCAACAGCAGCAACAGCAACAGCAGCAGCAACAACACCAGCAGCAGCAACAGCAGGCGGCAGGAGCTGCTCCATCTCCCTACGACGATGGAAGAGCTGCAGCAGCAGCGGCGGCACAGCATGCTGAACTACTTGGTCTAACCATGGATTGCACACCCCTTCTGTTGAAGCAGCCACCCCCAACATACGCCGGAGCCTCCTCCGGATTCGCCGGCCTGGCTGACCTCCACACCAGCCACGAGCAACAGTTGCAGCAGCAATATGTGCGATCGCAGCCAAAGTACCAATGGCTGGACTCACCAGCGGATTATGCCCAGCAGCAGGTGCAACAGCAAGTGCAGCAACAGGTGCAACAGCAGCAGCAACAACAGACCTTGGTGCTGCCAGGGCCCACTTCATCCGCCAGTTCCAGCAATGCAGCTTTGGGCGTTCTAATACCCAAACAGGAGAGCTATCCGGATATGCAGCCCAGTTCAAATGGTACGGGTTATTCGGCTGGATCCGGTGGAAGCTCGTCGGCAGCAGCAGCGGCCGCCGCTGCAGCAGCAGCAGCAGTCCAACTGGCGGAATATAGTCCTTCCACCAGCAAGGGACATGAGATCCTGTCCCAAGTCTATCAACAGAGTACTGTACCCTTGAAACTGGTGCCCGTGAAGCCGCGCAAATATCCCAACCGCCCCAGCAAGACACCCGTTCATGAGCGACCCTACGCCTGTCCCGTGGAAAACTGCGATCGTAGGTTTTCCCGCTCCGACGAGCTCACCCGCCACATACGCATCCATACGGGGCAGAAACCTTTCCAATGCCGCATTTGCATGCGCAGCTTTAGCCGCAGCGATCACCTCACCACCCACATTCGCACCCACACTGGGGAAAAGCCCTTTAGTTGCGACATTTGTGGCAGGAAGTTTGCGCGATCCGATGAGAAGAAGCGACATGCCAAGGTGCATTTGAAGCAGCGCATCAAGAAGGAGAAGGTACGTGGCGAGCAGCAGCAACAGCAACAGCAGCAGCAACAGCAGCAGCAGCAACAACAGCAGCAACAGCAACTGCAGCAGCAACAACAGCAGCAGGAGCAACATCACCTGAGCCTGCAGCAACATCAGCAGTACCAGCAACATCACCTGCTGCACTCCGCCGACCTGGCCATAGTCACCTCGAGTGCGAGCATGTAGAGACTAGAGAACTCGGCATCCAGCGCGGCTAAGGCCAAGACTCCCCGGCACAAGGTTAGTCTGGCCCTAGCCCTGGATCTCGACGAGAACGCCTTTCCCTTCGAACTCACATCGGACTATGGAACCCTGTCGCCACTCACCAGTCCCTGGCAATCGAATTACGTGTGGTTCGGCCAGGATTCCAGCCAGCCCTTCTTCTACAAGGACAGCCACATCCTGGAGAAGATGGCCTAAGTCCCGGGTGTTCCGGATCCAGTCGAATCAATCGCTGATGCTGAATAATCATTTAATGTAAACAGAGTTGTAGTCGTAAAATCGGGGTTGTGCTATCAGCAAAATCTATGCAAGACATTAAATCGTAATGAAGAATACAATATGCTACAGTTAGCCTAGATAATATCACACAATGGTCAGGATAGGATGGTCAAGCAAAGCAAAACAGAGTTACTAACCAATACAAAGCCTAACTAAAGCAAATTGATGATTACTAATTATATTCGATGTAATTGAAATGGGAAAAAATATTTAACTTATGTCTCTAATACTGTGATCTCATGTGTAATAATTATTAATTTTAATTTCCTTACATTTACATTTACATAACTGCAAATAACCAGAAATAATTTTAAAAATTATAATCCTTTCGCCTTTGCCTAGCTAATGTTCATTTTTTAAAAATGCTTACACAAAACACACACACAAACACTAATTTATTGCATTTTAAAATAATTATATATATATTATAATTATTAACTTATTGTCTTAAAGGTTTAGATTTAGGTTTTAACCTACAGAATACACAATTGAACACACAAATCTTAGCATATCATTTTTTCCTCTAAGCATTATAAATTGCATAAGTTAAAAACAAAAATTACTTTTAAATCGAATAATGGAAATTTCGTGTGCTAATTATAAAAGAAAAGAAACTTGTTTAACAAAAACGAAAACTTAAATTCGAAAAATGCCCCAGTGTACTTCCTTAATTGATTCGAAATCAAAATGGCAAATAAAAATTAAATTTTATTATATTATATTTTAAATAATTATAGATGTTCAATCTACTGTAGAAAACAATTTCTTCTTAGTTTGTAAAGGAATATTTTAAGTTTAATTAATTTTTATATTATTAGTTTACTTTACATTTGAAAATATATAACAATTTTTTAAAAAACATATTTTATTTGTGTACAATTTATTTTCGTTTTTTTTCGTTTTAAAACTCTTGAAAAGAAAAAGTAATGGTGCATGCTAAATATATAGATGGTTTCGGTTCACAGTATCTGGCAATAAGGACCGAATAAAAAGTACAGAGTTTCGTAGGTGTTAGACAATAGGAATATTGAATATCCTTCAGTACAAGAAAAGCTTTCAGTCCTTGTTCGAACCTTTCCCACAACCTTTTCCAAAGCTATATATATTTTCGTATGGCTATGAATCACACAGTATACCTATAAAATAAGAATACATTTAATGAGATATTTGATGTTCAGCTTATTCTGAATGAGTCTGGCGCCTCAAAAATTACAGCCTAACGAACTTGAAACGAAGTAGAAAGTGTAGAGAAAACACGAAAAACAGAAACTTAAATGGAACTCTTGTGCCACTTGACAAATATATTTGTTGATGTATACATAAATATTTGTAGAGAGCAACGATAGCTGAAATACGAAAGTAACGAATGGTTTGAGAATGTTTTAAATTCGGATCTATTTTATAGCAAAAATAATGGTGAAAATACATATATTTTGCATAGCCGCTAAATCAGACACAAATTAGCATTAGGGCCGAAAAAGGTAAAAACGTATAATAGATAGCAGATAGGTAAAGGGCAGTGCCAAAAATGAATAAAGAAATATAACACACCCTTCCCAAAGGAGTATAATATTAATCTATATATTTGTATTGAAAGTTTGTCATTTCTTAGCCTAGTGTAATGTTCAGAATAAGTCACAAAGTATCCAAAATACAAATGAATGTGTGAAACTTATGTGCCATCAAGAAAATAATGAAGCTTATAAAACACAAACAGAGGAAAAATAATTATATTTAAAGAATCGATTTTGACATTTTAAACGTTGTGATTTATATTGTTCATTCGATGCATGGTTCAGTGTTGATAATTATTAATAAATATTATTCAGTCATCTATCCAAATGGGCAAAGCTTAAGCAGAATATATCCATAGGTGTATTTAACTGTGTACATATGTAGATGTGTTTATAACTCAAGTTGCTTATGGACAGTTTTTCTTCCATATATAAATTACATGAATGTGAAATTCACTTGGATAAATGTGTTTTATTGATGCATTCTTAGCTAGACAACAATTATTCGTAGCTAAGCAAAAAGATTCAGAAACATTTAATGCTCAAATGGTGAAGCTTGCAAAATGGTTTTTGTAGATTTCGCATTGCAGTTCAAATATAATTTGTTTGTGCGTTAAATACATAGGAATATAAGTGTTTCTTAATGTTTTTTGTGTGCACTTTAAGTACTTAATTACCATCTAAAAGAATATATATTAAGAGACTCTCAATTCGTAAACTCTAATTTCCAAGACTGTCTTTGTGTTTAGATCGTTAAGTCGTCTATCGAATCGGTTCTATCATCCAAAAAAAAACCGGGAAGCTCAATCTTCCCAACTATATCAGTTCTTTCTTATAAATTAAACACCTAATATACCTATATCCTTAAACATAAGTTGATATTTTATGTCAAAGTAAACTTACAATATTCAAATTATATATTAAATACAGAAAAAAATATGCAAATTTGGCGAAAACACTTTTTGAGGAAATTAAAGAAACAAAATTTAAAATTAAACTAAGCCTAGTGTTTGTTTTATTTTTGCTTTATCATCTTGCACGTTCGGCGAATGGATTCCGTTCTGGTCATATAAATTAGTTAGGCATTCGTTTCAATAAGCCATATCGTGGTCATATATAGCGAAATGCAGCCCCAATAAAAAGCGCAATAAAATTGAAAATAATAGCCAAAGCGGGGCAGAAGACGACGACACGGACGATATATGCCAGCACTCAAAACTAATGAAATGTTCCAAACTCCAAAGCGATTGCAGCCACCAGCCAAAAGCCGACTGACCAGAAAGAAACGCTCCATTCTTCGGTTCTGCGGGTTCTACCTATTGGATGGTTGTGGTGCAGATTCTCCTCCTGGACCTCCACTCACCTGTTGCCACCGATCACCGATGGAGAAGGCCGGCTGGGCTGCCAGCAGCGACAGGCGCATGTCGGGCCTAAAATTCTTCAGTTTTTCTGGTTGCCAAAGACGGGCAGCCAATGTCGGGGAAGCGGCAAAAGTTATGAGCGCAATTCTCTCGTAAAAATGCAAAAAGGAAAGCAAGTTCTGGTGGCTACCGAAGAATCAAAGATGCCCTCACAGGCAGAAAAAAATTTATATATTTTTAATTTTCTATTAAATTCTTGAAGTTCTGAACCATTAAGTTTAACTAGGTTTATATTCATTTATTTTATTCGCATCTAAACAAGTTTTAATTTAAATTTTAGAATTGATTCACAAATCGTTCTTAAATATTTTAAAGTCGCTTATCAACTTCTCAGATTTTGTTTGCTATTTTTATGTGTTTTATAGACCAAACATGTGTATCGAATTACAACAAGTTTTGTTCTTCAATTCATTAAAATCAGCTTCTGAACAGAATTATAGTTTTGCTAAAAGTGATCAATTAAAAAGTGTAGAGCCCTCTGTTTCTCTATTAAATTAACATGATCATAATAATATTTAATAGTTTCTTATTATATTAAAAAATGGTAAAAATGGTATTATTTTAATAGAATTTAATAGTATCTTTTAGATAATGCATATCTTAGGCAAATTATGATAGTTTTAAAACATTTCTTTACAAGAATTTCCCTAGAAATGAATGTATTCTTCACAAAGTGATCATAAAATTCCGAATCCCCTGTCGACCAGGGCATAGAAATGCAAAATGCTTTCACGGCTGCGGCTTCCACGTCTTCGGCCTCTGGACTGCCACAGTTAAGGTTCTGTGGCGGTTTTCTGCCTTCTTGGCCGAAACTAGAAATTCTTGTCTGCGCAGCAATCATCATCGAACGAGAGCAGCCTCATCTGGCGTGGAAGTGAGGGAAGGGGATCTGGAGGAGATGGGGCTTGGAGCTGGAGATTCGCCCGGTGATTTGTGGGCTTGCGGTACAATTTGAGCCGCGAGCTGTGGCTACCAATGGCCAGTTGTTACCCGGGCCCAGTTTTAGCTTATGACAGGCGCAAACAAAATTATTCCGAATATATATATACATATAGCCGGGGCCAGTCGGCAGTAATCCCCATTCTTAAGTCCAGTTCTTGGGCAATATCGAATCCTTGGACAGACAGGACAGGTGATGAACTGTCGGCAGTCTGGGGAGGCACACACATGTGTAGTTGTCGTCTTAAGTGCGCCTATTTGACATGTTTAGGTGTTTAGATGGCATGCCCGATATGCACCAAATTGATTTCGATTTGATAAGCTGCCACATTTCATCTTGGCCATTCGGTAGCTTCAATATATGGACACCAATATGGCTTATCTGTTGCTTGGTATAACGAAGATATCGGGATGGGAGTCAGGCGATTTGGAGGTGGATGTGGCAGCTGGATGTGGACCAGGTATATCTGGCAGCGAGGTGTCGCTGAACAGTCACTCAGCCAAAAGAGCGACAACAACCGGCCGCAAACTATCACAAACCGGACTTTTTTATTTTAGAAAACCACAAAAAAAGGACCGGAGGAATGTCATGCAGGCAATCTCCATACTGCCTCGGCTTAATATCTTTGCTTAACTGCTAATGAGTTGCCGTTAGTGATTTATTTCGTAAATAAATAGAATTGCCAGCAGTTAAGCCAAGTTCAACTTTGCATGCCGCATGCAACACACGAACATCGACACGAGCTCCTGACACACTGATCGGTACGGAACTGAAGTTGAATTGAAAATCGGAGACGGCAAGTCTCCTGGTAATTCGGAACTGGGATGGGGTAGGTTCTCTATTTTTAAATTAATATTTATAATTGATTTTTAAATATATTTTAAATATTTTGAACTTTTTCGTTGTACCTTACCTAGCTTTTTTGATTTTTAAGTAATTTAACTTTATAACTAGTTGGATTCTAATAGTGTTAAACTGTTAAACAAATAATTTTCATATTTATAATGACTGTATAACATAATTATTTAAAGGTTTCTTGATCTTATGTTAACTAAGAGTATAAAGAAAAATAAATACGTTCTTGTAAAGTACGTTCTTATATAGACTTAATAAAAGTACTGCAACCTCCAACTTCTAGTACCGCCCGAGAACCCGCATTCCCAGACTCTTGATCACAGGGCGTGCCCGTTAAAGATATGCCAACTTGGGGTTAGAGACCCTCAGTGGTCAGTAGCGTAGTGCTATTAATAAAGCCGGCCGTATCGCACTGTCTGCGACATTTGACTAATTGAAAAGCCCTGATATATTATGGTCAGATCAGCGAAAGTTGGCAGAGCCAGGAGACTACTAGGGGTAGACGCACAGACACACTGCATCTGCATCTGGCCTAATCAAAACTAATTCATCATGGGTGCTGCCGATGCATTAGCAGCATCTCGCTAAGGGCACCGGCCACTGGGGGCCATCGTCATGTGAAAAGCCCAGGTAGCCGGATGGCTACCTTGCCCCAAAGTATTCCCCGGTTTGCGTATCTATGGCCACATATTTCATCGTCGTCGTTGTCATCGGTCGTTGTCTTCTCTTCCGCAACTCCAGAGAAGAGCCCAAAGAGCTCTATGGTGCTCCACGATGCACAGAAGCTTTCCTGGCCATAAAGAAACTAGATCAATTTAATTTCTTTTCGGTTTTTTCCTTTTCTCTCCACTTCACTCCAGTCTACTACTTCTATACATTTTTGAGGCAAGTTGCGGAGAAGAACTCGACTGAGCTCGATCCACTTTGGAGACACTTTGCGGAAGCGTGCCACTTTGTCACAGAGCATTGTGCCGCGGGCGTTTTGCATTTGGCCAAAGGCGCCGCTGGACACTCGATACTGGACCAAAGGACCACTGGACGATGGACTGGGGAATACTCCTGCAGAGA